AAAAAAAAAATAAAGCCCAAAAACCAAAAAACAAAAAAAACAAAAAAAAAAACTAAAAGGAAAGAAGAAAACAGCCTCATCCTTGTTGCTATTTTATAAGACATAGATTTCTATCTCAAGAGAGAAGTTAAGCTAGATGTACTGGCCTTTACATGTAGTTCTGGACACAGGAGTCCCAGTTAAGACCAGCCTGGCCTGTATATAGAGTCGGGCAGAGGGTAGAGATACAACTCTGTTACCTTCTGCAGCAGCCCGAGTAGGTATTTTTATGAAAACTTTTTAAGGCCTGTTTTGTTTCTTAGTGGAAATGTGATTTATGTGATTTATGTAGGTGGGTGACTGTTGAGATATTTTGGATGGGGGTCTAATTCGATAAGGTAAAACCTTATATAGGTCACAAGGATTTCACGAAGTGATTAAGACAGTCTTTTTATTATAAGTGGAATTTCTTTTAAGGTTTGCAGACAACTGCATGCTTGTAGCTAAGAACAAAGGAAGGCTATGTGCTTAGACTTTGCACATGACACTTATTTAAAGTATCTGTATATAAAGGAATATGGTCTCCTTTTCAAATATTTGTTAAATGAGGACTTCTTTTCCTTCTTCTGTGCCCTTATTCTATCCTGTGTCAAAATGTATGTGAGTGTGTGTGTGTGAGAGAGAGAGAGAGAGAGAGAGAGACAGACAGACAGACAGACAGACAGACAAGAGACAGACAGAGATCCTAAAAGTAAAAGCTGCACATTGGGCATGTTAGAAAGACACAGGGACCGAATTGATAGCTCTGTAGTTAAGAACCTTTGTTTTTAAAGAGAACCTAGGTTCTATCATCAGCACCACATGGAAGCTCTCAAACATCTGTCATCTGTGACTCTTGTTCCAGGGGCTCCAATGACTCCTGACCTCCTTGGGTAGCAGGCACACATGTGTTATACAGATACACATGCGGGCAAAACACTCATAAAATAAATAAACCTGGAGACAGGGAGACATAGCCTCAGCACTAGGAAGACAGAGGCAGGAAAATTTGAGGTCATTCTGGGTAACAAAGGAAATCGCAAGACTGCATAGCAAATCCTTGTCTCAAAGACAGGCTTGGGGGGAAGGGACTACAGAGATAGCTCCATCTATGTAATGGATCTCCCAACAGCCTCGGAGAAGCCAAATGTGGTAGCATGTGTCTGTAACCACAGCTAAGGATTGGAGGACACCTAGGCTAGTCCCTGGCATTAATTGGCCAGTCTGTTAGAGACCCCTGTCTGAAGAAATTAAAAGGAGGGACTGAAGAGATGGCTCATTGGCTAAGAGCACTGGCTGCTCTCCCAGAGGTCCTGAGTTCAATTCCCAGCAACCACATGGTGGTTCACAATCATCTAAAATGAGATCTGGTGCCCTCTTCTGGCATGCAGGGATACATGCAGACAGAGCACTGTATACATAATATACATAATAAATAGATTTTAAAAGAAAAATTTAAGTGGAAAGGGACTGGCAACGTAGCACAGCTATAAAGCACTAGCTGCCAAATCTAATGACCACTCGGTGGAAGGAGAACTAAAACTGCTCTGAGCTCCACATACGTGTGCTGTGACATGCTTGTCTTTCATGTGGGAATAGAAAGGAGTTCATATGTGTGGAGGTCAGAGGACAACTAGTGAGAGTAAGTTTAAGGTATATAGTAGCCCTACCCAAGAAACAATGTAGAAAAGATCATCATAAAAGAACTGGAAAAAGATGAAGTGTACAAGTGGCTTTAGCAATTACGTTGTCAATCTGAGAGCAGTTTGTTTAATAGCAGGTGTTAAGTTTCTGGAGGCTGAAGAATAAATGAAAAGTAAAAAAATATAGCCGGGCGGTGGTGGCGCACGCCTTTAGTCCCAGCACTAGGGAGGCAGAGGCAGGCGGATCTCTGTGAGTTCGAGACCAGCCTGGTCTACAAGAGCTAGTGCTAGGACAGGCTCCAATGCCACAGAGAAACCCTGTCTTGAAAAACAAAAACAAAAAAAATTTAAATAAATACGAAAAGTTTTATACCAATTGGCCTGGTGGCATACACATTTAATCCCTGAACTTTAGAGGCATAGGCAGGCAGATCTGTATGAGTTTGAGGCCAGCCTAGTCTACACAAGCTATAGGGTCAGCCGGGGTTGCATAGTGAGACCCTGTCCAAAAAAAAAAAATTGCTATTTTAGAGCAGTTCTGATTAGTTTATGTACTAATTAGTTAATTAGTTTGTGTCTTTTGTGAATTTTTCTCAACTTGTGATTGCTGTTGTGATGGTCTTTATTCTTGAGGAATAAAGGTTTTAAAAACAAGCTATTATTTTAAATTGATCACCAAATGAAATGCCCCACCCCTGACTTATACACTTATACATAGTATTTTTTTTTAAATTGTCAAATTACCTTTGGAAAATTAAAATTCTGAAATAACTTTCAGTGACAAGACCTGGAACAATTCTCGTGACTAAATAATGTTAATATTGGACTATAACCTTAAATACCTAGGAGCCCGTGCTGATAGAACTACATGGTTGGCTAAACAATGGAAAGGACACAAGTTCTGTACAGAGCAACTGGAAGTGATGCCTGTAGATCTCTCTTTCAAGGGGTGGAGCTTCTCTTTATTATTACTACTGTACGTGGATTTGTTGTCTGTGTCAGCTGATTGTTCTTCCAGAGAACCCAGGTTTGATTGCCAGCATCCATATGGCAGCTCAGAGTTGTTTTTAACTCCAGTCACGCAGTCTGATGTCCTCTCATGGACTCTGTGGGCATCAGGCACACATAGACTGGCAAAACACCCCCCCCCACACACACACACACAGCACTTAAGGTATGGCAGGCAGATCTCTGAGTTTGAAGCCAACATGGCCTACATAGTGAATTCCAGAACAGCCAGGACTACACAGAGAAACCTTTCTCAAAAAAAACCAAAACAAAGCAAATAACCCACAAGCATCAAACTGACTTATTTCTTGACTTAAACCAGCAAAAGATAAAAAGAATAATAATCCAGGGCTGGCCAGATAGCTCAGTGAGCATAGTGCTTGCTTTGCAAGCATGAATATCTAAGTTCAGATCATGGATATCCATTAACAACAACAAAAAGCCAAACGTTGTATCTAGCCAAAGTAGTAAGCTCCCAGGTTCAGTTTAAAACCTTGTCTCAAAAATAAGGTGGCAGCCGGGCAGTGGTGGCACACGCCTTTAATCCCAGCACTCAGGAGGCAGAGGCAGGCGGATCTCTGTGAGTTCGAGGCCAGCCTGGTCTAGAAGAGCTAGTTCCAGGACAGGAACCAAAAAGCTATGGAGAAACCCTGTCTCGAAAATCAAAAAAAAGAAAAATGTGGCAGTGGTAGCACTGGGGAGGCAGAGGCAGTCGAATCTCTGAACGTGAAGCCAACCTGGTGTACAGGGCTATACCTGTCTCGGTGGAAAAGAAAAAAAAAAGAATGAGAGAATGAAAAATAGTTTTGTGGAGCTGGAGGGGTGACTCAGTGGTTAAGAGCACTGTTCTTTAGAGGTCCTGAGTTCAATTCCCAGCAACCACATGGTGGCTCACAATCACCTATAACTGTAGTCACATGGGATCTTATTCCCTCTTCTGGTGTGCAGATGTACATGCAGACAAAACAGCCATATACATCAAGTACATAAATAAGTAGAAAAGCATTTGGGGATGATATCCTGCTGTGTCTGGCTGTCATATCTGCACAGGCCACAGACAAATACAGGCACCCAGTTTTTTAATTTATATGTTGTTCTGTACTAACCATGAAAAACTTAATGGTCTTAATATTAATATTCTTAATTACAGAGACTAGGTTTCCTGGTTTCATCTATTCCTGGTAATTGAATCTATTATTTGATCTATATTAGGTAGATATGGTGAGAATGGGTATCTAACATGGGATGTCTAAACTTGACTTTTCAGCATTTTTTTAAATTATTATCTAGGCTTTTTTTTATTGTTTGGCTGGCTGTTTTTTTTTTTTTTTTTTTTTTTTTTTTTTTTTTTTTTTTTTTTTTTTTTTTTTTTGTCTCATGTAGTAGTACAGACTGATCTCAAGACTGGGTGTGCAGCCGAGGATGACCCGATCACCTGCCTCAGTCTTGTGGGATTGCATGGGTATCAGTGCCAGTGTTTGCTGTATGCTAGGCATGCACCCTACCAGTTAGAATCTATCCATACCAATACTAACTCAAAGTTTTGTGAGTTTTTCTTTTAATATTTACTTTTAATTATGTGGTTGTATATGTTGGGGGGTATATACATGTATCTGTAGCACAAATCTAATTGGTCTTAATAATAAAAACCTTGAGTCAGATATTAGGGATGAAAGGTCAGAGAAGCAGAGCAGCCACTGGGTCTTACCTCTACAAAATCCTCAGACCGAATGGGTAGCCTGTCTCTACACGTTCTCAGACTGACTGCCATGTATTCGAAACCTCAAACTAAATCCTGAGCTCCTTGTCTCCTCCTGCCTTATTTTCCTCTCCACCCAGCCATATCCCTTCCTGTCTCCACCTCCCTAGTAAATGATCTGATTTTTGCTTTGTGAGGAATTTCACAATTGGGGTCGGGGGAGGTACTTTGGGAGATTTTGTTTGTTCTTAGCACAGACTCTGATGAATCTTTCCCTCCTCTTAATGCATTTAACTAATATGGTAAATGAGATGCAGTTGCTTTCTGTAAATGTATTTCTTATAGTCAGAAACACCTGTTTTTATTAAAGATCAGCTTTTATCCCACTTTTCAAATTATTGACAAGAAACGTGTAGCGCTGTTGTGTTGAAGAGATTGAGGAATAGATTTAGAATTTAAATCCAGGAACAAAATACTTCATCAAAGTCTCCAAATTCTGAGGCTGGGGAAATAGCTCATCAATTAAAATGCCAGAACCATCTCAGCCTGAGGTAGACAGCAGCCTGACTGTAACGCCATCCTTAGAACCCATATCAGCCTGAGGTAGACAGCAGCCTGCCTGTAACGCCATCCTTAGCAGGTAGAGACGGGGATTCATCATAGCAAGCTGTGGGTTTGAGAAATCCTACTTCCATTATTAAGATGTGTGACCAATTGAGGGTGGTCCCAACATCAGCCTCACTCAGACCACCACATGTATGCATATGCCCACACAAACATGTGCCTCCACACATGCAAATCAACATGTATATCACAAACATAAAATTAAAATTTTGTGCCCTGCTTTAATTTTTGGAAAGAAATGATTTAATTACTTTAAAACACTGTTTTGAAATAAGTCTACATCTTTGTGTTTCTTTTTTTTTTCTTTTTTAAAAATTTATTTATTAATTGTGTATACAGCATCTGCCTGCATCCCTGCAAGCCAGAAGAGGGCACCAGATCTCATTATAGATGGTTGTGAGCCACCATATGGTTGCTGGGAATTGAACTCAGGACTTCTGGAAGAACAGCCAGTGCTCTTAACCTCTGAGCCATCTCTCAGCCCATAGGTCTACATCTTTGAACTCACCACTAAGCACCATTTTAAATCTACCACAAGTTAGTTTGTTTTTCCATGGTTAATCCAAAGATGTTTGTAGCATTGGAAATATCAGACATTTTGCTCATTTAAATAATTCCTAATTAGTGAGTGTTTATTATTGAATTCCAAATAAGGTATATAGTATATAAATTTGTAAAAAAAAACCTTTAATATGAATTTAGATGAAAGAAATAAATTTGGCCAGATTACTGGTTTCCTTGTTTTCTTTTTCGTTTATTTATTTTGAGACAAGTCTACTATATAGTTTTGGCTGACCTGGAATTTACTGTATAAACCAGGCTAATCTGCCTCTACCTCCAGGGTTCTGGAATCAGAGTCATATATATGTCATGATGCTTAATCCGTGTGTTCTTTCTAATTCATATTTACAGCATGAAAATTTATTTTTTTGAAATAATTAAGGCCTCCTCAATGAAGTAGTTAGGCTGAATCTTGTTTTCATGGTGAGCGTATGGGTGTTAGATTTTTTTTTGTTGTTTGTTTGTTGTGTTTTAGTTTTACAAGACAGGGTTTCTCTTTGTAGCTCTGGCTGTCCTGGTTCTCGCTCGGTAGTTCAGACTTGCCTCAAATTTACAGAAGTCTGCCTGCCTTTGTCTCCATAGAGTACTGGAGTTAAAGGCATGTGCCACCACCACCTGGCAGGTTTTTGAATTTTTTTTTTTTTTTGAGACAGTAGAATCTTACTATATATTCCTGCTGGTCTGGAGCTCCTATGGAGACCACCAGGTTGGCCTCAACTCACAGAGATCCATCTATCTCTGACTGCCACCATGCCCAGCCTTTTTTTTTTCCTTTTTTAAATTTGTTTACAATTTTTTCTTCAAGTTAGAGTGAGAGTGTATTGCTGTGTGTGTGCTCATGTACTTATGCACATGTGTTTGCCTTTGGCAGCTTCCAGGGACCTAGTTCAGGTCTTCAAGCTTGCTCAGCAAACTTTTTTATTCACAGAGTCATCTCATGGCTGTTTATTTGTGATTCTTCTACTTTTCCACACACAGAGACACTATCTGTGGCAGTTTTCTCTTGATTCTGATAGCTTTGACCATTTGACTCTTTGCTTACTCCCAGTTATCTGTGAAAATAGCATTCTTTTTTTTTTTTTAGTAGATTTAATCAAGATTTTTTTTTTAA